ATCACAGTTTCCTGTTCTACTAGTTTCTGCATTTCATTTTGATTCTTCCTTAATATTTCATTTTCACGAGAGAGATTTTCTGTCTTGTCCATTAAGGATTTCTGTAGTTCAAGAATTTGTTTTTGAGAACTTCTTAATGTTCTTATCAATTTTTTGAGATCTGCTTCTTGCATTTCTTCTATCTCATCATCTTCATAATCTTGAATTGGGGTGTCTTTTTCATTTGGGGGCGTCATAGTGACTTCCTTGTTTTTATTACCTCGGTTTTTGCGTTTGTTATTTGGCATATTGGAGATACTTGGTTTTTCACTGTGGTGCTTTTTCTTGTTATACTATGACTCTAGATTAAGTGGACTGTCTGTTTTTGATGGAGCCTTAGAGGCTTGAGATGGGTGTGGCCTGAGAGCTCTGTTTGGTGTGCCAAAGGTGACACTCCCAGGTTAGGCATGGTAGATCTCTCTCTCTCTTTCTTTCTTTTTTTTTTTTTTTTGATTCAAAAGGGAAATAATTCCACACAGCTGAACGAAGTTGGAGGTATTTAGCAGGCAAATGATATACCCACAGGAGCCAGAGATCGGAAGCTCTTTCCCAAGGACCCCACAGGGAATCTGTTCTGCCCTCTGAGTGGGCTCAAATTCTCTTTCAGTCTCCCAATGGGTTTCCAAAGTTACAGAATTGTAGCGTCTCTGGAGAGTACTCACGTGAATTCCGTGAGTTCTCTCCCCCACCGTCTCTTTTTTCACAGTCTCGGTTCAGTAGCACCACAGATTCACTAGGTCCTAATCTCCTGTTAATTCATCCCGCCCAGAGTCAGGTTTTTCTGCTAGGCTCAGGGCCGGTGCAGACCTGAGGTCGCTCTGCTTATGACGTATGTCCAAGATGGCGCCTGCTCTTTGTCTTGCTCGCCTTTGAGAGGTGAGCGGAAAGAGAGAAACCCGTGTCCGTATCGGTCACTTTTTTTTCTCTCTCTCTCTCTTCTAGTTAGCCTGGTGAACTTTTCCCCTCAGGGTCGTTCCCTCTAGTCTCCTCTTTCTGCTTGCCTGCCTGTGTCTCGGGCTATTGAGGTTCGGCTCACCTCGCGTTCCAGCGCTGGTGTTTGAGTCTGCCGCTGGTGTCCCGAACAGTGGGCTCCCAGGCTCTCCACGCAGGTCCGCTGTGAATCACTAGTTTCGGAAGAGTTTCTTCTGCTGTTTCTTCCCCTACTCTTCCTTGAACCTGCAGTATCTCCACTTTTATTAAACTGTCTCTCCCCGGACTATCAGTGTGCTTCCTTCCTATTCCACCATCTTGCCGCAGGTCCGGGATGAAGGTTTTTAAGATCGACAGCCGGCACAGCAGCTTACTAGGCTAATCCTCACCTAGCGGCACCGGCACACCGGGTTCTAGTCCGGGTCAGGGCACCGGATTCTGTCCCGGTTGCCCCTCTTCCAGGCCAGCTCTCTGCTGTGGCCAGGGAGTGCAGTGGAGGATGGCCCAAGTGCTTGGGCCCTGCACCCCATGGGAGACCAGGAGAAGCACCTGGCTCCTGCCTTCGGATCAGCGCGGTGCGCCGGCCACAGCGCGCCAGCCGTGGCGGCCATTGGAGGGTGAACCAACAGCAAAAAGGAAGACCTTTCTCTCTGTCTCTCTCTCTCTCACTGTCCTCCACTCTACCTGTAAAAAAAAAAAAAAATCATTGACACCTGTGTCCAAATTGTCTTCTGAAGCTTTTAATTTATCAGTCATAGAAAATTTAACTGATTTTACTCATTGCCAGACATTCCTTGAAGTCCTGGGCAGAATGTGGTAGCCAACCAATAGAATCTGATAAAAGGGTGTTTATATTCCACCAGAAGACAGACCACAGACCAGCTTACATTCAAGGGCTGGGTTTTAAGAATGAGTAAGGTGGATAATGGCAAAATGAGAGAGAGGATGTGCTATTTTTTTGAAAGATTGCTTTTATTTCTTTAAAAGAGTTACAGATGGAGGGAGGGGAAGAGAGAGAGAGAGAGAAGAGACTTCCTTCCATTGGTTCACTCCTCAAATGGCTGCAACAGCTGGAGCTGAGCCTATATGAAGCCAGGAGCCAAGCACTTCCAGGTCTCCCATGTGGGTGACAGTGGGCACAAGCACTTGAGCTATCTTCTGCTTTCCCAGACCATTAGCAGGGAGCTGGATTGGAAGTGGAGCAGCCAGGACTTGAACCAGCACCCATATGGGATGCTGGTGCTGCAGGCTTTAAGCTGTGGCACCACAGCGCTGGACCCGGGGTTGTGCTGTTTTAGGAAGGGTGGTCAAGAATTTCTCTCGGTGGAACTAATGGCTGAGTGGAGGTCTGAATGAAATGAAGGAGGGCCGGCGCTGTGGCTCAATAGGCTAATCCTCCACCTAGCAGCGCCGGCACACTCGGTTCCAGTCCTGGTCGGGGTGCTGGATTCTGTCCTGGTTGCCCCTCTTCCAGGCCAGCTCTCTGCTGTGGCCAGGGAGTGCAGTGGAGGATGGCCCAAGTGCTTGGGCCCTGCACCCACATGGGAGACCAGGAGAAGCACCTGGCTCCTGCCTTTGGATCAACGCAGTGCGCTGGCTGCAGCGCGCTGGCCGCTGCGGCCATTGGAGGGTGAACCAATGGCAAAGGAAGACCTTTCCCTCTGTCTCTCTCTCTCTCTCTCTCTCTCTCTCTCTCTCTCTCACTTTCCACTCTGCCTATAAAAAAAAAGAAAAGAAAAGAAATGAAGGAGGAGGTGAGTCCTCATCTGTCCTAAGGAATAGTGTTCCAGCACAACAACTTCCCCAGGGGGCTGGTGCCCTGGCTCACTTTGCTAATCCTCTGCCTGTGGTGCCGGCATCCCATATCGGGGCTGGGTTCTAGTCCCAGCTGCTGCTCTTTCAGTGCGGCTCTCTGCTGTGACCTGGGAAGGCAGTGGAGGATGGCCCAAATGCTTGGGCCCTGCTCCCGTTTGGGAGACCAGGAGGAAGCACCTGGCTCCTGGCTTTGGATCGGCGCAGTGTGCCAGCCGTGGCGGCCATTTGGGGGGTTGAACCAATTGAAGGAAGACCTTTCTCTCTCTCTCTCTCTCTCTCTCACTCTCACTGTCTAACTCTGCCTGTCAAAAAAAAAAAAGATTAAAAAAAAGATAATCTATCACTTGAGAACTGAAGGGGATGATTTCCTAGGTATTTAGTTCCAGTTATGTACAGGCACACTTAACTTCTATAGGGAAAAAAAATCCTTATTTATCCTTACAGTATGTCCTGGGAGACCAAAGAATGTTGACTGGTGCCCTGAAGGAATGGAGCAGGTAGAAAGGCCTCTTTTCTCATTGTCACTGCCAATACCAGAGATCTTGTGATTAGTTTTGCTTTACAGTCAGAAACACCAAGAGGTACAGAAATCACATGACTATTGTCGGAACTGCACATTTATTTTTTTTTTTTTTTGAAATTTAGTTGTTGTAACTGAAGTATGGGTATGCATTTTGTTTTGCTTGGGCTCTAAGGGAAAATTATTGTTATATTTATTTACAAAGTTGTTAAAAAATGATGCCTAAATCCAACCAATTATATGCAACAGAGACCTTTTATGGCTCTCTAAGCTAGGAATATTTACTGTTTGGCCTTTTACAGAAAAAAAAATTGGTAGAGACTGGTACTTCACTTCCAGTTCCCACCATGATGTGAATTCATCGGAGTCACAGAATCGTACTGTTGTATTAGAGGAGAAACCCTACAAGTATTCACCAATGCTTTCTATGTGTGAGTACAGTTGCAAGCTAAATGCTGGCTGTCAGAGAGTTTATGATTTAGTGAGGGAGGTAGGCACTAAACATATGACTGCAAAGCACTTAATTAAAGTGGTTAATTTCATAAAGAAGCCATAAAGAGTTCCAGAAGGGTGTGGAAGAAGGTCACTGAAGACTTTTCAGGACAGGTGATTTTGATCTAAATTTAAAGAATGGATCTGCTAACTAGAGGGGCTGGAGGATGGGCAGCAGCAGGGCTGACAGTGAGGAGACGGTTGCTGTGAAAGGGACCCTAGAGATTTTTTTTTTAATTTAAGATATACAAGTTTCATATATTTCATGAAACAGATTTAAGAACATAGTGATACTTTCTTCCCTCCCACCCACGCTCCAACCCTCCTCTTCCCTCTCCCATTTCCACTCTTAATTTTTACGGAGATGTGCTTACAGTTTGCTTAAGGCAAGGGAGCTTCTAGTGTCAAAAATACTTTTGGGACCGGACCTGTCCTCTACCTCTGGCTAACGTGAGGACCAACTGGGGACTAAGAAAGTACTGCTTCCCAGGTCCTGTTCTCAGGTGATTCGAAGATAGGGCTGAGATGGAGAACCCTGGCGCAGGTGGACCCAGGTCCTCTGTCAGTGTCTTCCCAGTGTGTGTCTCTTGTCTCTTTTAGGGAAACAAGGAGAAGCTTGGGCCTACCTTAGACTGATGTTTCATAGGAATATCTGAGACAATTTTGTGTATCTTTCTTTCTCCTTCAGCGCAACTGTTTCCTGCTCACCACCTCCCTTTCATTCTCAGGGCCTCCTTTTCTTCATTCCTGGCCCCCCCCCCCCCAGCACCGTGCCTGGCACCACGAATGTCAGCCACTGACATTTCCAGGCCCACATGGTGGCACTTGGGTTACTGACTGCTTCCTTAGAGAACCATCTGCAGGGTAACCAGAGCAGGAGGAAGATTGCCAATGGAATCCCTAAGGTGGGGGCTTCTTCATTCAGATGGGAGATGTGCAGCCCACGACTTGGCTCATTCCCTTTGGATGGAGGCTGAAGATATTTGGGGAATGGGCGAGTGAACCTGATCTGCCATTTCATGCATGGTGTCCGTGGACGCTGACTGCAGAGTGTTTCTGAGTTTGAGAGGCGCCTTACTGCCCAGGGCTGTAGCCTTGGAAATGATGTTGCTCACTGACTGTGTACCTGGTCTGTCTCCTCTGGGAGGCTTCTCAGCTGGGTGAACCGCCAGCCTCCCTCCTAATGAGTGTATTTCATCCGCAGGGAGGACTCTGTTGGAGAAGCTATTCAGCCAGCAGGAGAACGGGCCTCCAGAAGAAGCAGAGAAGTTTTGCTCACGGATCATTGCCATGGGTCTCCTACTTCCTTTCAGTGACTGCTTCAGGGAACCATGTAATCAGAATGCCCAATCGAGTTCAGCTCCGTTTGATGTAAGTAGAAGAATTCACTTCTGTCCGAGAACTGGATTGCAGTTGAAATAGGAGCTGTGATGTGCATTTGTGTGATCACCCTATAATTTGAAAAGAACATGGATACAAGTGTTCCACCCCTCTGCAGCTCCACAGCTCACGTTCCTTTATGACTAGAGTATTGTTTATTTGCCAAAACTCCTTGTATTAACGGATGGCGACACACCAATTTTCTAGCCTGCTTCCATCAGCAGTTATTTAAAGGTGCTTTTAAATCAGTATTTCTGACTATACTGGTCATGGGCATCCCTTCAGAAGCAGTTCCACAGGGCAAAGTATGTCTCCCAGTGGGCTGCAGGTTTCCATGGGCCCCAGGATGCTATTTCCATGCATTCCTCTCTCATTTATATACAGAATGTCAACATGAGCAGCACAGTCTGACCTCTCCCCCAGCTCCCATTCACTAAGAGAGTTCATAGTGCAGAACTGTAACTTGAAAGGCGTATTCAGCACAGCTGCATTGTCATGCCCAAACCAGAGTGTTGCTAATCTTTCTCAGGTATGTGGGACATGGGTGACATTGGTTGTGATGAATATGCATCTGAAACCCAGATGTGTAAGAATTCCCTATATGCAGTACTCGTAAGAAAATTGAAGGGCTGGTGGCTCACTTGTGTGGGGCTCAGAGTAGGTATGTATTAGAGAGTAACAGGTTCTCATTGCTGTGAGATCATGACATTTGTTCCTCTGTTGCCAACTGTTTTCCTCTGCTCTTATCCTCTTCCCTCTTCAATAGATACGCTGTGGTTCAAAGAGTGAAATAATAATGCATTCTGAAAACAATGAGAATGAATGCTGGCTGAGATCAGGATGTGGTAGTGAATAACTGAGTGCCTATATTTGGATTTTTTCCTTCCTCATCCTTATCCATTACATCCTTCTTCTCCCTTTAGTTTTAGACATATAAATGGCATGGTGTAGTCTGAAATCTTTTTGATACTTTGCATCTGAAAGAAAATTTTTTGGATTGTGCTGTGACTTGTGAAGAATTCCTTCTTCTGAGTTTTTAATTGAAAATTTTCCTGCTGAAATTAAAAATATGATAAGTTAGTAGCCATTGACAGCTAGGTAGATCTTTTCCTTCTATTAGAAGAATAGAATAATACTAATTTTTTTCTTCTCCTCTGTAAGAAGTCTGTGGTGTTGTAGAGTCAGAACCTCAGACTATGGTGAATTAAGGATTAGTGAGGTGTTTTCTGGAATTATACTAGGCAAACACTTGCTATATATAGCACTTGCTTTGTGATTAAGACTATCCCCTCATTATTTCATTTTTCTTTGTTATAATTCAGACATAAACCATCTTATTGGTCATTCACTTGGCATTGTAATAAACTGAGAACAGAGTCATACCACTCGTCTCTCACTCTTTCTGTCCTTCAGTCTACCACCAGATTGCCTCTTATCCTTCACCTCTTTTCAAGCTGGTGTTCGGGAGAATTAAGTTTTCCCAGTCCTGGTGTTTTGAAGGGCACAGCGTGAAAAGCAAACACAAATAAACAGAATCCCTCAAAATGAGGAATTTCTCTCTCTCTCTTCTTGTTGTGGTTGCTTGTTATTCTTGCTTTATTCATTGACTCTGTACTACTTCTTTATTCTCTCTACTCAACTGAATACAAAACAAGAAATTAGAGGGCTCTTGAAAGAAATGTTACTCTGTATTCTTAAACTGCTGTTCAGTTGTACAGTCATGCACTTACTGGATACATGGTCAGGGTTTTCGTCAACACCTAGAAGGGGTAATAATAAGAGGATTAGGGAGGACTAAGGTATCAGTGGAGGATGGGAAGAAATATGGTTGTCCATAGGGAGAGAACTGAGTCTCCCTGTTGGTTTCCAGAAGATAGCTGTGGGGAGCATTTCTAAGCAACAATTCTCTTGAGAACTGTGTCCTTCAAGCCAGAGCACCCTGTGGGAATCAGCTTATCACTGGCACCCTTCCCACCCCTGACTTTTGCCTTTGTTCCCTTCCCTAAAAGCATCCTCTCCCCCTACTTTCTCTTCTCCCTGTTTACACTTGTGATTGGAGCAGTGTAGACGTGTGAGGATCTTCATGATGCATGTTACGAATGAGCCTACTTCACTGAACCCTTTGGATGTTAGCCTAACATTTTCTATATACATTGAGGGCTTAACCTTTTTCTTTATAATGTACTTTAGAAAATATGAAAGGACTTTATATTTTCTCTCACATTTTAACTCGATTAAGGTTTCAAGAACTTTAAAAGGTAAAGATAGCCTCGAGTGTTGAGGTTAACTCACCCACAAATATTTTCCAAATCCATTTTATAAGCCAGGAAATATTTTAGATTTTTGATATGTGTTAGTTAGCCAAATAAATAAGATTTCTGTTCTTCTGAAGTATAAATCATATTCATGGTGGGATGAGGCAGAAAAATAAATAAGCAAACAAGTAAAATAAAAGCACAGGAATATTAATTTTCATCAGATTCTTAGAGGGTCAATGCAGGAAATACACTTGAATAATGTAATAGAATGGATGAGGTGAGGTAAGATCCCTCTCTAAGGGCCTGTGAGGTGAGGTCTGAATGAAGGTCATTCCAGGCAGCTCCGGGGGGCAAGGACAGAGTTCATTGTAGGGACATAAGCATGATCTATACAAGACATTGCCTCAGGGCCTGTGGAGCTGAGGCTTAGTGGCACGAGGACAGGAAGGTCTCATGAACCTGAGTGGCCAGGATCTTGAAAGCCGTGGGAGTAATGAGATGGTTTTTATTCTAAAATGGGAGCGTTGGGGAGATTTTGAGCAGGGGAAGAGCATATTTTCCGTGTACATGGATCACTCAGCCTGGCATTCGGATAACAGAGGACAGCAGCTGAAGCAGTGACACCAGGAGGGCTGCTGCAGTAGCTGAGTGAGGGATGTGGCAGATGCTTGGCAGGGGGGATTATAGGGGGGTGGGTGGAGGAGTCAGTGGGTTGGGAAAGATCCTGGAGATAGAAGCTGGTGGGACCCTTGGTGGGTGATGCCTGGAACAAGGGAAAAAGAGGAAATCAGGGTGATTTCCTGGTATTTGGTTTGAAGTAGCTGGTGATCATGTCATTACTGAGATGGAAATGTTGTAAGGACAGACTGGTGCTCATAGATATAAACCTATATTAAATAAAACTATTTATTTTGAACATTAACATGTGGTATAATACCTGGAACACATTAGCTTTTGTCTTTTGCTGAGTGGAATGATGTTGACTGCGTTACCAAATCCAAATTAGGGCAATGAAACTTAAAATTATTGTAGCTATTAAAAGGACTGGTACCGGCTCTCATCAAACAGACATAAATATTGTTCTTCTTCTTAAGGGTCTAATGGCTTTGTCTCATTCTCTCTTTTTCATTTCCATTCTAATATGGGTAACCACAAACACAGCTTTACAGATTCTCTGTTAGTGTCTTCACAATCGCCTTTTGCCTTTGGTGTGTTTTTCTTTTTCCAGTCCTTAAGTTCTGTGTTCACTTGGTTGAAGAGCAGTCAGCTTGACAAGCAACAGGCCCTGTACCTCACCCCAGACCTCTCACTCTCCGACTCTGCCCCAGAGTGATTCTCCCTGCTTTGTTTAGCTCTGATGACTTGGGGTACTTTACATTCTCTGATGTTGTTTTCAACATTGCTATTCCTACTGTCTGTCACAGGTAAGGATTTTTAGCTCACTTATATTTCTTCCCATGTAGTTAACATGGATGTTTCTAGTTCTGCTTCGGTAATTCTTTGAACTTTAACAAATATGCTTATAATTTTGGCTGTTGTTCCATCAACTTCAGATGAGATTTCTTGCCATCCTATCCACCTTATAAAATTAGGCTTTTGATGCCTCTACCTCTGTCTGCATCCAGTCTGAGCCTTGTCTGCCTCTTCTACAGACACTTTTATCTTTAGGGTATACTTTGAAGATGGATGGTTTATCTTCATATGTATTCTGAAAGTTGGAAAACAAATGGAAATCATGTAAATACTGCAATGCAGAGACAGGTTCTGTGCTCTGATTTCATTTCCTTCCCAATATCTCCGTATCCCAATATCATAGCCCCCATGCCACTCAAACAAGGATGTCCCTCAGGTCAACTTCAGATAGACTATTTTTTTTAATATTTTTTTTTAATTTTTATTTTTTTAACAGGCAGAGTGGACAGTGAGAAAGAGAGACAGGGAGAAAGGTCTTCCTTTCCCATTGGTTCACCCTCCAATGGCCACCACTGCACTCCCTGGCCACAGCAGAGAGCTGACCTGGAAGAGGGGCAACCGGGACAGAATCCGGTGCCCTGATCGGGACTAGAACCCGGTGTGCCGGCGCCGCAAGGTGGAGGATGGACCAAGTCCTTTGTCCCTGCACCCCATGGGAGACCAGGAGAATTACCTGGCTCATGCCATCGAATCAGCACGGTGTGCCGGCCGCAGCGTGCTGGCCGCGGTGGCCATTGGAGGGTGAACCAACGGCAAAGGAAGACCTTTCTCTCTCTTTCTCACTGTCAACTCTGCCTTTGTCAAAAAAAAAAAATCCTTTGGGAAACCAGGGTATGCAACATATGGTAATTGGTAGTCAGGAACCTAAAGACCGTATTTGGGAGAATAACAAGTGCAGTCTTGGAATGTTAACACAGAATCACCACACTGAAAAAGACATTTATGGGTGTTTGAGGAAATGCCACAGGGCAGTAGTTAATTGAGTGCGAAACTAGTGACAATCAGCACAAATGCCAAGAAAACTTGGTTTACTCAACTACTTCTAGTTATATCCACAACAGACAACATTGGATGCTTCTCTGTAGAGATGTTGTTGATGATTTTGATGATTTTGAATTGCCCTGAAAAACACTTTTTTTTTTTGACAGGCAGAGTTAGACAGTGAGAGAGAGACAGAGAGAAAGGTCTTCCTTCCGTTGGTTCACCCCCCAAATGGCCGCCACAGCCGGCGCGCTGTGCCGAACCGAAACCAGGAGCCAG